TATTATCCACAGATTTCAAATTTGACATCAATCATAACAGACCTAAGAAAGATTATTCTCTCAGTTATACCTAATCCACATAAAACTATAAAGTAGGAAACAGAAATATAATTCTAAATATATTCATGTAAATTTCATAACAGATATGCTTAGGAAAACTATCAATTCACTAGATTGAGGGGATGAAGCCGTTTTTTTAAAAACTGCTTCAACTTGTCAATACAAAGTGATATGGCTCCTTATTGCTAGATTCTGAGTATTCAGTTACTTTGATCTGCTTCACATACAGATAAAAATCTACTACACTTAGATAAACCTAATTGAGAAACTGGCTTTCTATTATGAAACTAACTTTTAACAAAGTCCATTGATTATTAGTGAAGAAAATAAATACAGAATGCAATCACATCTGCTTCCAGCTAGTATCTAACCAGTAACTGACTACAAATGACTATGTGGTGTTCATACTTAGGGACACTGAAACTTTATCAGGAAAAATTGTTTTGATTTTGTAAAAATCTTGGTAGGACCGTGGGAGTATGTCATACATGAACATCATGGAATCACAGTGAAAAAACATTTTAAGACTCACTGAACTGGGGAAACCATGAGAGTCAACAGAAGAAGAAAGAAGTTCAGTATATATCATGCCCCTTCACGTCTACACAGCTTGAAAATTTTAACAGGTGGGTGAGCATCAGAAGACAACTGGGGCTTTGTCTAGACCAGCAGGAGGGTTGAGTTACAAAAAGCAAATGAAATGGAGAACAGGGAGGCATCTGGCATTCTGGTTTGGACTACCACATTCCCCACCCCTCCCCTCCGGGGGAGTGTGTCACCATATTAGTAATGCTTTTAATTCCCTGTGGCAAAAGAGTGTTGTCTTTTACATAATTGTGTATCAAAGCTCCTTTCTGCCCAGGGACTGAATTATTTTTGGTAATAGTTTCCAAGTTCCAAAGGAAAACATTTATTGTATTTTAAAAGATTGGGCTCAAAGAGTTTCTATTATTTACTTCTTAACATTGCACACAATGTTTTTTAACCATGTTTGATTATTAAGCATGTTTGATACCGATTTTTCAACTGAAAAATCGGTCGAGCTAGAAATCTAATGGCTATGTTAGTCCTTTTCAGGTAACTACAGTGGGAGAAGAGACAACAGGTATGGAATGGAAGAGGAGAGATGGCACAGACCTAAGTAGCCCCAGCTGCCCTGCATTTATGCCCAGACTTGCCCAGCTGTGACATTTGATGGCCTGGCTCCCAGGAGAAGCTGAAGGAGGGGGCGCATGCTTCATATTTACTGTTTTTGGGGGGGACCTGAAGCCGGCCTTGCCCTTGTTTTTTCTTGGCTGGTCCTTCCAGTTTCTTTTTTTTTTTTTTTGAGATGGAGTTTTGCTCTTGTTGCCCAGGCTGGAGTGCAGTGGTGCAGTCTTGGCTCACTGCAACCTTTACCTTCCAGGTTCAAGCGATTCTCCTCTCTCAGCCCCCGAGCAGCTGGGATTATAGGCGCCCGTCACCATGCCCAGCTAGTTCTGTATTTTTAGTAGAGACGGGGTTTCATCATATTGGTCAGGATGGTCTCAAATTCCTGACCTCAGGTGACCTTCCTGCCTCAGCCTCCCAAAGTGTTGTGATTACAGGCGTGAGCCACCATGCCCAGCCCTCCCAGTTTCTTTCTTTCTCTCTCTCCTTCTTTCCTTCCCTCCTTCCTTCCTCCCTTCCTTCCCTGCTTCCTCTCATCCTTCCCCCCTTCCTTCCTTCCTCCCTCCCTCCTTTTCTTTTTTTCTCGTCACTGGTCAATTCCTCGTCCCCAATTCCGACTTCTCTCTCTACCCTGAAATTAGATTCATCAGTATTTTGTGTTTTCTACCAATACCCTAGCTCTACTACTTAGTAACATTTTGGTGTTTTACAATGTTTTCTTAATCCCTTTTCTAGCCTCTTGGAATGCATTCATACAATTTGTCCCACTGCTAAAGTATTTATCATAAAGTATGTAATCAAAAAGCAATTACAAAGATATTATTCTATAAGTTCACTTTCTGGATGAATAACACCTTAAGAAATTAAGTATAAGTGACTGGATTTTCTTTTTTCTCCCACTTCAGTCATTTTGCTTTTCTATGCTTGAGCAGAAGTAACTCATTTTAAATTTCCCAAAATTCTCTTGTAAGGGGTAAGAAAACACACAGCCATATATTGTGCTTTTCCAGTTCCTTTCTACCCTCCCCACAGGATCTCCCAACCAAAGAGCATAACTGCCAGACCAATCACCCTTAAAACCATTTCCATCACTTTTCACAGGGATAATGATTCATAGCAACATTCAGCTCACACAGGTAAACTAACCTGATGAAATCTAAACTCCCCTCCAGAAGCTGGCCCTAAATCATTTACCTATTTCATTTCTTACTCTTCCACCACCTCACCAAATAAATTGATAATGAACTCTCCTTTCTACGGAACCACTCCAGAAACCCCCCTGGTACACATTTCTCTCACCTGGAATGCCCCATATCCCCTTTCCCAAATTATTTCCCTTCCAGTTCTAGATCAGCTGAGTCACCTCTGGGACACCTCTGTAAAGAGAAATTACTGTGTTCAGCCAGAAGACATTGCTTCCAGCCTGCTGTTTTGCTATAATTAAAATGTTTGACGCCGGAGCAGTGGCTCACGCCTGTAATCCCAGCACCATGGGAGGCCGAGGTGGTTGGATCATCTGAGGTCACGAGGTGGAGACCAGCCTGCCCAACATAGTGAAACCTTATCTCTACTAAAAACACAAAAATTAGCTGAACATAGTGGCAGGTGCCTATATGCCCAGCTACTCGGGAGGCCAAGGCAGGAGAATTGCTTGAATCTGGGAGGTAGAGGTTGCAGTGAGCTAAGGTTATGATACTGCACTCCAGCCTGGGCAACATGAGGGAAACTCCGTCTCAAGAAAAAAAAAAAAGTTTGTAGACTAAAGTAGTGTAACTTAAAGAAACCTGAAAATTGCTGCTGATGCTCGCTCATTTTGGGAAGAAAGTTTAGCACAGGAAGGGGTTTGGGCATCGCAATAGGTTAAGGACTAGTTCAACCACACTAGTCCCCAGTAATTTGCAAAGTACTGCCCCACAGAGCCACTGATAGGGTTGGGAGTGGGTCTTATTTCTCAGTTTTACTGAGGCAGAGAAAGGACTGTCAAATATTAGTGTTCGCTCAATTCGGGACGGATAAAGAAAGGCTTAAGTCTTATTTGTAGGATCTGAGTTTAACTCCTGTGACTCTCTTTTTAGCAACCACTTTAAACCCAGGTAGGGATTGGAATTCCTACCCCGAGGGATTGCTGAAAGGATGAAACAAGCAAATGTATTATGAAAATCTAAGAGCATGCAATAAACTCTCAGCAAGTGGTAACCATATAAAAAACTAAGCATATTTCTGTGCAGAGTACAGTCCCTAAACTCGAATAGGCACAAGTGTTAGGAACAGTCTATCCCTGACCTGACTTCAGAATGTCAAGAACCTTTTGAAATCTGATGCAGAATGCCGAGCTCACATGTGTTGATGAATTCTTCTGCGAAAACAATTCACTTTGCTTCAGGATCTAAAATGCGTTCATGACCCAAAATAGGAATGGGGTCGGCAGGGCAGTGTATAACACACCCCTGACTATTAATAACTAATAACTGTTAATAACTCCATCTTAGGAAAAGACTCCATGTTATATTTCATAAGGCATTTGCCAACAAGGATACTATATTTTGTTTAATAAATAAAAAATAGTCTGCATCCAATCAGGTAAGGACACAAACACCCTCTTCTACTATCAGTTCTCACCACAGGACTCTGACTACAAAAGACGAGGCCTGGCCCAGCACTTTGGGAGGCCAAGGAGGGCGGATCACCTGCGGTTAGGAGTTCGAGATCAGCCTGACCAACAAGGTGAAACCGCCCCTCTCTGCTAAAATTACAAAATCAGCCGGGCCAGGTGGCGCGTGCCTGTAATCCCAGCTGCTGGGAGACTCAGGCAGGAGAATCACGTGAACCCGGGAGGCGGAGGTTGCAGTGAGCCGAGATCACGCCACTGCACTCCAGCCTGGGCAATAAGGAGACTCCATCTCAAAAAAAGAAAAAGAAAAACACAAAAAGAGGCCTTCGGCAGCTCCAAACAGCCATTTTAACTGCAGAAGGACCTCTGGGCCCAAAGCAGGCCTTTCTCTTGTTCACTCTGGCCTGGTTCGTTCCTCTCTTTGTCCTATCTTTTTCCTAGGGTTAAATGCCACTTTGTTTGTTGTGGGATGCTTAACTCGTAACATTTATATGCTGAGTACCTACCGTCTGCAGCACTACGTGCTGGTGGAGGGGCTTGAACCTGCGTGTCCAGACGGACTACCCAGTGACCAGGAAGTGCTGAGAACTGAGTCCTGGGGAACTCCACGCAGCTCGTGGCTTTTGATTGAAAGAGCGTCAACAGAAGCCTGACATGGTGGAAACACACAGCATGCGTGGGCCTGGTTATTTCTAGCCTGGCACCCTGGTGACAGGAGGTTAGGGATTAGGAAGAGGGACCCGGGGGTAACCGAAGGAAAGGCCTCGGGCCACTGGAGGAGAGACACAAATTACCGGCGGGCTCTCGGCGTGCCCCTCTTCTTCCCGGAGCTCACACTGGGCAGCAGGCCTGGCCTTGTCTCCCTACTAGGTACCCCTTGGGCCCGGCGCAGTTTCCAGGTTTCCCTCAGTTTATCTCCAGAATCTCGCGCTGGGAGCGGACGCCCGCAGGCTCTCGGGAAGACCAAGATTTCAAATCCCGAGCGGGGGCGCCCGGCCCGGCCGTGGGGGCGGGGCCTCGGGACGGGACCAGAGCGTGAGGGCGGGGGGCGGGGGCGGGGCGCGGGGCGGCCTTGGGGGCGGGGTCTGGGCGGGGCCTCGGGACGGGACCAGAGCGTGAGGGCGGGGGCGGGACCCGGGGGCGGGGCGTGCCGCCGCCGGCTAGCGGGCAGGAAAGGCGGGCGGCGCGCAGGGCCTAGCCGGGGGCGGGGTTCTCGGGTGGGCGGGAGCTCGGGGACGCGCCGCAAGGCGGGAGCTCGGGGACGCGCGGGGCCGAGAGGGGCGGGCCGGGGGCGGGGCTGTCCCTGGAGCTCACAACTCCTGGCCGCGGGCTGCGGAAGCCGAGCAGACGCGGAGCCTGGCGGGTGTCTGTGAGGCGGCTGTGGAGGGTTTGGGGACGCTGTGCGGTGAGTGCTGCCCTCGCCCCGGGCCGTCAGTCCTGCGCCTGCTCCCTGCGTCCTCCCAGGCCCAGCGCCCGCCCCGGGACCCGCCCGGCTCGGCAGCTATGCGGGAGACTGAGATGGGCACGGTCTGGGTGGTGGAGCCTTTGTTTTGCCACCTCATCTGAGGCGGAGGCGAGCACTGAAGCCCGCGGTGCGGGAGACCTGGCCCGGGGCGGGAGGCTGGGCCGGAGCGGGAGACCTGGCCGGAGGCGGGAGGCTGGGCCGGAGCGGGGAATGCCAGGCAGCGGGAGGCCGGGCCGGGGAACCGAGCCGGGAATGCCAGGCAGCGGGAGACCTGGGCGGAGGATGCCAGGCAGCGGGAGGAACCGAGCCCGGGGCCGGGAGGTTGGGCACGGGACACCGAGCTCTGAGGGCGGGAGGCCTAGCGATTGGGCCGGGAGCCGGAGGCCGGGCCAGGCGGCAGGAGAAGGGACAGCGCTACCGCCGGCGGAGGAGTGGCCCCGGGAAGGGGCGCTGCCAGGGCTGGGGCGGCCGGGTGCGGACTGAGCTTCTGGCCCTCGGGCTGATCCTCCCTGCTTGGGACGAGGGTTCGGTCTCTGCTGCCTCCCACGTCTGGGGCCTGGACTATCCCGGGTTGACTGTGGTTTAGCCCTTCCATGGAGGTCGTTGCAGGGTTGAAACTCCAATTCCTTTTCGGCCCTGCAGAGCTTCGTGAGTGCTCGCAGCTCATATCTGTCGCTGTGTATCCGTGGCCACAGTCGGTGGTGCCTCCTTGAAACCCCAGGCCGCGAGAAGTTAGCGAGCCCTGCTCACCCTCGGCGCTCTGGGTTTCAATGGCGGTGCTCTGCACCTGCCTCTTCCATTCTCAGTAAGTGGCACCCAAGCAGGAAAGTAGAAAACATCCTTCTTAGCCCCCTCTCGCCCATCTGCTTCTTTCCCACTTCGTCACCAAGCCTTGTCGACCTCGTGAATGTCTACCAGATCTGTCCACATCTCTCCGTTTCTGATTTCAGCCGCCTGACCACGGCAGCCTCTTCCCTGGTCTCCCCACTTCCAGACCCGCCTGCTCCTTTGCAGTCTATTTATTTCAGCACAGGCAGAGGGATCCTTATGAATGAAAGTCTAGAAAGCTCGTGCTTTGCCCTTAGGTTAAACCCAGCACTTAACATGGCTAACAAACCTCAGCACGTGTTGGGTCCGAGCATCCTCCCCCGCCTTATCTTTAGCACCGATTCACTTTCCGCACAGCCGTGCTGATCTTCATACCTAGCTCCACCTGTGACACCTCTGCGTTCCCTTTCTCCCTCCATCACGTTTGCTTAGAAGAGCTCCTACTTAGATTTCTGTTTTCATTAGACAGTTCAAGGTTAAATCTTTCTATAATGTGTTCTTTCTGCAGCCAGCTTTTCCTAAGAGAGATGTGTCATATCCTTTGCAGATGCTTGTTTACTGTCTTTCCTGCTGCATTTGTAAGCAAACTCCATGAGGGACAGACTTGGTTTATCTGGGTGTTCCTTAGTGTCTTTTCCCAAATGTGGGGCATGGCACAGCACAGTAAATGCCCATCCATTTGTGTTTTTACTATTATGCCCTATCTAGAAAAAGTAGACCTGATTTAGGATTGTTTAGCAAATTATAATTAGAAAAGAAATGGTAGAGGTGACATATGGAGTCATTGTAACAGTGTAACCCTGCAAGATAGCAGAAGGAGGGCCAGGCAAGGTGGTTAGACCACACTCTATCAAAATGGGCTCAGCCACTGCGAATGTGCGTGCTGTGGTTACATGATCTCTACAAATGAAACGTAAAGCTTAAATCATCCCTGTCACAGCCCGATGCTTGAACTCTGGTTTTGCTTTGTCTTTTTGCCAAAGAAGGTTTTTGAAAGTGAAAATGTTTTTGAATGAAGGGACGAAAAGTTTATTGGAGTATGGCAATAAAACCTGTTCAAAGTAACGGACATTCGACATTGTACCTAGTTAAATCAGATTTGCTTTTGCTATCCTGAAAAAAGGCCTTGCCTCTTGCCATTTGAAGAGACTGGCATCTGATATAGGCAATTATAATGCTTCTTTACTGTTTTGCTTTCAAACCTAATTTAACACAATCTCCCACTGCTTCATACCCCTACAAAGCAGTCTTTATTGTCATGAATGATATATTACATTTCTTCTGGTGCCTACTATTAGATCTTTAAGCTCTACCCGAAAGATAGGAAACACTGGTGTTCTGGCCCAGAGAAAGATGTGGGAATTCTTAGATTTATATAATGTTCTTTCTCTGCATGTTTTGTTCTTGCCTTCACATGTTGCCTGTAGAGCTTCTTTGTATTACCATAATGAGATAAAGCTACCTGGTATGTATTGGACACCATCGGGCATCTGCCTTGTTAAACCACTTTTGAATACCAGCGAGCATTGGTATAAGCGCTGCAGAGGGATGGGGTTTGTCTCTTCCACTGCTTGATACACTCAGGGTCCAGTATGGTACTCTGCACACAGTTGGTGTTCAGTAAATTGTTATGGTCCAAATATCAAATGAATAAATGCTACTGAATCTGACTTTTGGCAGTTTCATCTTCCAGACAGCAGGATTTCTTCAAGTGGTTTTAAACCTGAATCTGATTCTGCAAAGTAGTGGTTCTTGGTGGGAGTGGTGAGGCTTTAAAGTTACCTGTAATTTTTATAAAAAGGCATCTGAGATCCTCCATTTTACACTTATACAGATTATTCAGATCTGTGAAGGCTTTCCCATTTTCTCCTTTTGGCCATCCAAAAGGACTTCCTTTGGCAAAGGGAAGACAGATCTTTTGCACATAGTAAGTGCCATTCTTTCTGTCTGGTGTCATAGGCTTTGAATAGTGGGGAGTGCTCTATGCTGTCTTCCTGCTCACTTGGCCCATGCCAGAGAAAAGGAAAGGATGGTTTATTTGTTTGTATAGTACAATGGAAACTTGTTTAGATTTATTGTGTATTTGATTTTACATTCCTGTTCTCATATTTTTACCTTAACTACACAATAAATATTAAAAGATTGGCTTCACCAGGCCCAATGACAATAGCCAGTTTGCTAATTCTTATATGTACCCAAATGAATTCAGAGACCAGATGGGAAAAGATTTTGATAAAACCTCTGGTTTTATTACATTACAACTGAAGTCTTTTCTTGCCCAAACAATTGTGAAACAGATGTTCTTTCTGTTTCGTTTGCTAAATCTGGGAATGTGACTGCCTTTGAGACTTTGTCCTCTCTGACAGTTGATAAATATAAGCCGGATATTTTTCAAGTTGTTTGACAGAAGTGTAGTTTCCCCAGAAATCCTACTGGACAGGCTTCACTTTTCTTTTGGAGGAAAACAGAGTTACAGGAAATATGTCTTAATGACTTATACTGAAAGCTGAACATAAAACAGTAATTTAACTTTTATTATTTTTAGAGGCTCAAGTGCGGTGGTGCGATCATAGCTCACTGCAGCCTCCAACTCCTATGCTCATGCCATCCTCTTGCCTCAGCCTCCTGAGTAGCTCGGACTACAGGTGTGTGCCACAATGCCAATCTACTTTTTTTTACTTTTTTGTAGAGATGGGGTCTCTCCGTGTTGCCCAGACTGGTCTCAAACACATGACCTCAAGCAGTCCTCCCACCTTGGCCTCCCAAAGTACTGGGATTACAGGTCCAAGCCACCGTGTCTGGCCTATTTCACTTTAGAAGTAAATCGAATGTCACATGCAAGGTTTGTTAAATTTAAAAAGAAGAAAGAAAGGAAAAATAGAAGTAAACTACCTAGTGGTATCAGAAATGCCGTAATTGTTTTTGCCATTTTTTTCATTCATTAGAATTCAGTGCATTATGTTATTTTGGTACCTCTGCAGTAACTTGCTATCATATTATTTATGTTTTTTGTCTTATTTAAAGCTTCTGAGATTTTGGGGTTTTGTTTCCTTCCCTGAAATTAAGCATTATCACTCCTACATAGTGCTAAACTGCCTATAGAATAGTCAGAGTCTGCCATCTTGAGTTGGGAAGATCCTAGTTTGAATCCTGCCTGTGCCACTTTAAAGTTCCTTAACTCCTCTTAGCCTCGGTCACCTGAACAACTCTGCAGTGGGGATCCTTATGCCTCAGAGTGTGTCATTGGGAGGACTCATGAAAAATAGCTTGTACTTTTGAGTTTAGTACCTAGTCTGTATGAGCCAGCAGTAAGAGTGACAGTCATCACACAGTGCTTTACACACACCTTTGCCGTCACATGCAGGACTGTTCTTCCTTTGGCTACTGTTTTGGTAAATCTTTGCTAGTAAATGTTTCTTAAAAGCATTTATATTCATGGACCTGATTCAGAAATTAACTGAGTTGGTTTTTAGGTCTCACTTTGAGAATTAAAAACCCTTAGGGCAGAGAGCAGATTTTATTTCTTACCTCAGAGTTTCCCTGTAGGATAGGAACCAGCAACACTCTAATAACCAGTAACTGTTAGCTGATTAAGAATCTCTAAAACTGGCAATCCTAATTTAACATCTCCTTTTGAATTCCTACCAACGCACACTTTCACACATTCACTCTTTAATAACAGGTTATTTCAAATTATTGATGATTTGTAGCTTAATATAGAAATTTCACTTTAGAAATTAATTTTCATTTCTCTGCCTTAATGCTATAGATGGTGTATTCTGCTTTGCTTCATTATTATAATAAGTAGTTGGCTAACCACCATGTAAATAGGGAGAACATTCCAGTTTTTTGCTTGTGTAGGAAAACACAAAAAAAAAAAAAAAAATATCTGTTTTAGAGTGAAATAAATTTATACTGACAACATTTTTTAATGTTTGAAAGCCTGACTGTTAATAGCGTTGGTGGCAAGTGTTAAGGGATCCAGGAATTAGCAAAGTGATTCTGAGACCGGAGTTCCAGGTTTCCATGTAATGTCAGTTGGTCTGCTGAGAACTTTGCCATAAACATATGTGTTTAGAAATTTCCTTTCTTGGCCGGGCGCGGTGGCTCAAGCCTGTAATCCCAGCACTTTGGGAGGCCGAGGCGGGTGGATCACGAGGTCAAGAGATCGAGACCATCCTGGTCAACATGGTGAAACCCCGTCTCTATTAAAAATACAAAAAATTAGCTGGGCATGGTGGTGCGTGCCTGTAATCCCAGCGACTCAGGAAGCTGAGGCAGGAGAATTGCCTGAACCCAGGAGGCGGAGGTTGCAGTGAGCCGAGATTGCGCCATTGCACTCCAGCCTGGGTAACATGAGTGAAACTCCGTCTCAAAAAAAAAAAGAAATTTCCTTTCTTATCAACAGCATCCTGAATTGATGAAAATAATTGATTAAGAATTAATTAATCAACCCAGTAAGAAACAATTTGTGTTAAGTCCATTGCTATGCCAGGATAAATTTTTTAAACCCCTATTCCTATTTATGTTTTGTCAAATAAAAAGGTTATAAGAGCCTAAATTCCTGTTTTCATTTAAAGCAGTGAATATTTCCCTTAGGATAAGATCTTTTATCCTTAGATGAGCTCACCATCCTCAGAATAATTTGTATTCAGCTGGGCATTAGCTAATGGAGGTGAGGTCATGCTAAGCAGCACTTCAGTGAGTTTTGTTGGAACCAAAGCTCTGCTCCTGGGAGTGTGAATTTGGTGCTTTCGTGTGGAAACAACAGATGATGATAAGTAAAGAGTAAACGTGCACATGTCGGATGCTGTAAGGATTTCATTTATCATCATATAAATTTTTAGAAGTATATCAAAATAAACTGATAACTGAGGCAATATTGTTCAGATAATAATGAAGTTAATGAAGTACACCATAGTATTTGTTCCTGAGAAATTTTTTTCAAACAGACAATATTTTAAATCCTGTTATAGAAGAATTTTTTTCTTTCAGCCAATGATTCTCTTACTAAAACAAAATTATTTGTTGTGTCTAATATCAGAAATGATTAATTTATGGTTATTTATATTGATTGGTCTCTCTGAATTTTTTGACTTAATTGACTTGATGTATAGAAAGAAAATGACTTTTAAGTAAAGTCACCTTAATATTTACAGGAGATTTTATATTGGTCTGAGCCAAGAAGTAAATATTATAGGACTTTGAAAAGCTGGTCACTATCTAAAGTTTCCATACCAGTCACAAGGAGAGAATTAATTTTATTCCACAGTTTCATTGCTGGCAAAAAAACACAAGTTTATTAAAAATCAGTATTTTAGTATAAGAGTTACTAGACTGTTTGCAGAAATATTCAAAAGAGATCTTTAGGGCCTTGGTTGTCTGTAGAAGCTGATCAGCATTTAGGGGTTTCTGAGCACAGACTGTGAACCCTGCATTTGGCAAATGCATTCAGAGAGCCAATTTGAGGCAGACGGGGGTGGGGGGGGTTAGAGGGGATACTGCCAGGAGCTCCAGGTTCAGCTTCAGAAGTTATTAAGTCTTATTTCCCAGTTTTTTAATTAGACTTCATTTTTAGAGCAGTTTTAAGTTCAAAGCAAATTGAGAACGTACAGAGATATCCCATATCCCACCTGCCCCCACACATGCATAGCCTCCCGCATTTTCAACATCCTGCACCAGAGGGGTAGATTCTTACAGAGGAACCTACAGTGACACATCATCCTCACCCAAACTCCACCTTTCACAATAAAGTTCACTATTGATGCTGTTTATCCTGTGGGTTTGGACAAATTTACATTGACTTGGCATCCACCATTATAGTGTCACACAGAGTAGTTTCACTGCCTTAAAAATTCTCTGTGCTGGCCAGGCACAGTGGCCCACACCTGTAATCCCAACACTTTGGGGGGCTGAGGCAGGTAGATCACTAGGTCGGGAGTTTGAGACCTGGCCTGGCCAACATGGTGAAACCCTGTCTCTTAAAAATACAAAAATTGCCGGGTGTGGTGGCTCACACCTGTAATCCCAGCACTTTGGGAGGCTGAGGCGGGTGGATCATGAGGTCAAGAGATCGAGACCATCCTGGTCAACATGGTGAAACCCCGTCTCTACTAAAAATACAAAAAATTAGATGGGCATGGTGGCCCGTGCCTGTAATTCTAGCTACTCAGGAGGCTGAGGCAGAGAATCGCCTGAACCCAGGAGGTTGAGGTTGCGGTGAGCCGAGATCGCGCCATTGCACTCCAGCCTGGGTAACAAGAGCGAAACTCTGTCTCCAAAAAAAAAAAAAAAATACAAAAATTAGCTGGGCCTGGTGACCGGTGCCTATAATCCCAGCTACTCAGGAGGCTGAGGCAGGAGAATCACTTGAAATCAGAAGGCAGAGGTTGCAGTGAGCCGAGATTTCGCCACTGCACTCCAGCCTGGGCAACAAGAGCAGAACTCCATCTCAAAAAAAAAAAAAAATTCTCTCTGCCGTCTCCCTCCCTCCTAGCCACTGGCAAACACTGATCTTTGTACTGTCTCCATAGTTTTGCCTTTTCCAGATTGTCAGATAGTTGGAATCGTAGAGTATATACAGTCTTTTCAGCCTGGCTTCTTTCATTTAGTAATAATGCATTTGAAGTGTCCTACATGTCTTGTCATGGCTTTGCTAGCTTTGTTTTTAGCGCTGAATAATATTCTGTTCTCTGGATATACCACAGTTTGTTTATTCATTCACCTACTGAAGGACATCTTAGTTGCTTCTAGTTTTGACAGTTATGAATAAAACTGTTATAAACATCTGTGTGCAGGCTTTTGTGTGAACATAAGTTTTCAGCTCCTTTGGGTAAATACCAAAGAGCGTATTTACCATATGGCTGGATCATATGGTAAGAATATGTTTAGTTTTGTAGGAAGCTGCCAAACTGTCTTCCAAGTTGGCTGTACCATTTTGGATTTCCACGAGCAGTGATTGAGAATCCCTGTTGCTCCACATCCTCACCAGTATTTGGTGTTGATGGTGTTCTGCATTTTGACCATTCTGCTAGAAGTGTAGTGATATCTCATTGTTGCTTTAATTCGCATTTCCCATTATTTGCAATCTCTACATCTTTGATGAGGCCCACTGGATTTTTACTTTAGACTTTCTCTTTTTTTTGAGATGGAGTCTTGCTCTGTCTCCCAGGCTGGAGTGCAGTGGCGCGATCTCCGCTCACTGCAACCTTTGCCTCCCAGCTTCAAGCAATTCTACTGCCTCAGCCTCCCAAGTAGCTGGGATTACAGGCGCATATCACCACACCCAGCTAATTTTTGTGTTTTTAGGAGAGACAGGGTTTCACCATGTTGGCCAGGCTGGTCTTGAACTTTTGACCTTGTGATCTGCCCACCTCGGCCTCCCAAAGTGCTGGGATGACAGGCCTGAGCCACCACACCCAGCCTCACTTTAGACTTTCTATAGATTGGCCATGAAGTCTTGAAACAAAGATACCATGGATTATAATGCAGTATCAATAAACTATTATGTGTTCACCTGTTTCCAGACTTGTTGGCTACCCTGTACTGTTCTCTCAGTTAATCAAGTTAACCACAATTTGTTTCTCAACCACAGGTGGCTAATTATTTTGTCTGTGGTCTGTCCACTTTGAATTGATGTGCATGGGGCAAGTTGGTCTCTATGACATTTATGGTTCAAGGAAGTTTGAGATTTCCTTGTATCTAATACATGCTTATTGTACATATGAAAGAAAAAGAGAAAGGCAGATAGATGGGAACATGGTACTGAGCATTATATAGGCAAGGAAGGGTGGCTACTTTGATAGGAAAATACCCCTATTTTTGTCACTCTTGAAACAGGGCCAGGAGTTGAAGATGGCTAGAATAATCCACACCTTTGTTGACATTGTTTTATAAAATAATATTTGTTACTATTTTCTCACTTTAAAAAATGCAGATGTTATAGAATAATTAGAAGATATAGAAGAATGTTAAAGAGTAATAAGTTGTCAGTAATGCCATCACCCAGAGAAAGCCACTATTAATAAACATGTTAATATGTAAAGACATACTAATATGTAATATGCACTGAGTGACTAATGGCAGGTCACTTAGCTGTATCGGTTGTCAGATCAACTGTCGTGGTATGGCAGTGCTTATGTTCAATTAACCCTTATTAGTTATTGTTGTTAATCTCTTTCTGCGCCCAATTTATAAACTAAACTTTCACATAGGTATGTATGTATAGGAAAAAACGTACTGTATATAGGGTTCAGTACTGTATTCAGTTTCAAGCATCCACTGGCGGACTTGGGAGGTTCCCTCCCACCCCCATCTCACAGGTATGCTACTGTATAATTATTCCTCTATCTAAAGAAAGAGCTTCTGGAAGATAGGAACTTTGTCTTGTCTTCCACCCTATCGTATTTCTCAGGATGATATCTGGCACAAAGTATTTGCTTACTGACAAACTAAAAGATGATTTATCCCAGTTGTACTCGCATCTTCCCTTGGTTTTCCAGAAAGCCTACAGGAAGTAAGATGGTAGAAAAGCAAAGTCTTCATAGAAATGTGGAACATAGACTGGCTCTTGGAGAAGGTCCAACACCACCCTCTCCTGTGGTTAAATTGAGATGATGACTCTGGCTCTCCTCTGTGTTCATTTCTTCACCTTTCCCCACCACGGGTGCACACAAAACTTGGGGAAGGGGAGAAAGGAGCTTAGCTTTACCTTAATAGAAGGGAAGAAATTATGTTTTCCAATTGACCTTGAAAATGGGGACCTTGGTACGGTTTAGGAAGATAAAAAAGTTCTGTGATGGATTCCAACAATCTGACTACTCAATGCCACTGAACTGTACACTTAAAAATGGTAAATTTTATGTATATTTTACCACAGTTTTAAAGATTAAAATTTAAAAAGTGGGGAAAGTTACCTAGGACTTTCTAGAAGGCTTTTGTGGGTGAGCAAGTTCTGCTGTAGGATTGTATATGATTTTGGTATTTCTGATTGTATCATAGGAGTGAGGTAAAAGTTGTATTTTGACAGGAATATTTGACATTGCCAGGGTTTCTAGAGTCTGGAGAAGGTCAGTCAAGATTTTTTGTTCTTGTTTTTCTGTATTTAGGGAGGTAGATTGCCATGGAAAGTACCTTTGCTTCTAGAAAGCCAGAGAATACCTGGTAGAACTATAGAAAAGTGGTAAGGAGCTGGCTTCTTTAGAGGCAACATAGTAGAGTGGAAAGAGGGCCTTGTCACTTAGATTGTGACTATCAATAGTCACTTCACCACCAGGGTTGGGTTTCCTGACTTTTAGAAATTTGAAAAGATTAAAAATGAATGTCTTGCAAAGTACCTGGTATATATTAAGTGCTCAATAAGCGATAGTTGCTTTGATGATAAGAACTGGTTCACCTTGCGAGATATAATTGTGTGATGGAAGAATGAAAGCGGAAACTGTAGTTTTTACTTTTAGGTTTCCTGGGCCATTTTACTACCCTAAATGAGAAGCTTTGCTTCCAAAATCCAGTTTAAGAGTAAAAACTAAGCTGGACTGGTGGCTCTTACCTTAATCCCAGCACTTTAAGAGCTCTGGGTGGACAGATTGCTTAAACCCAGGAGTTCAAGACCAGCCTGGGCAACACGGCAAGACCCTATGTCTACAAAAAATACAAAAATTAGCTGGACATGGTGGTGCACGCCTGTAATCCCAGCTACTCCGGAGGCTGAGGCGGGAGAATTTGAGCCCAGGAGGTCGAAGCTGATTGTGTCACTGCCCTCCCGCCTGGGTGACAGAGTGAGACCCTGTCTCAAAAGGAAAAAAAAAAAAAGAATAAAGATTAATGGAGATTTGGAATATGTTGATACTGTATCTTGGGAATCTAAGCATTGTAGAATTGTATTATGTGAGTTGTACCATTGTGGTGGGAAGTTTTTTATTTTTGGTTTAACTGTGTTGAGTTGCAATTCTTAGAAATGACCCAATGTGTTATCTTACAAAAGAAATAAACTGTAATCTATATCTTGATCTGATGAGGATAAATAAATATAAAAAATCTATGTGTACACTTTCTATCTATATGCCTTATATAATTCACTATATATAATTTATAGCTCAATTGGAAAGAGACAGGCTAAATTGTATGTACCATTGCAAAAAAATCATTATCCCCAGAACTGACTCACAGAAAGCTTTAACAGTAGAGGTGAAAATGAGGTATTAATTTGGAAAAATAATCATGGAGATAATTAATGCAGTGGTTTTATGACTGATTTTTTTAACTAACTTCTATTTTCTTTATATTCTAGTTAATAAAGGTATCCATGGAGAACACTGAAAACTCAGTGGATTCAAAATCCATTAAAAATTCGGAACCGTGAGTATTTCAGTGGAATTCTATATAATCAGAGAAAGATTGGGGTTTGTACAACAACAAACCTTGAGGAATGGGGCGCTCAGAAAGAGAGTGGTCTCTCTTTCAGGCCAGAGACTAAGCTGACTTACTGCCTCAGATAGTTGTGTGGCTTTGCATAAACTAACTTTTCTTTCTCAACCTCATCTTTAAAATGGAGCTAAAACTTTCACAGAACTGAAGGGAAGATGAAAGGAAAAACCTATTACCATGGTCAGAAACCTAGTCCTGGAACCAAAAGGACACCACAGGAGAGGCAGAACTCCCAAGTCGGGTGCTTTCTCCCCCTCCCAAATCACTCCATAGGATTAGGATTAGAGGTTTTGGGTTTGGGAGGAGTTTTTTGACCTCTTGTTTATGAGTTTTTAAGACGAAAATGCAATGCTAATTTTCAGTCTGGGGAGGAATTGCCTAGTTATGGATGAATTTTACCCTTCCTTTCCTTTGTCTTTTTGGAATATTCTGCTTAATGCTTCCAATAACTAGCAGATAGAAAAAGATAAAACTCAAATTCTCTTTAATTCATGTTTGTTATTATTTATTTGGGAATTCTTATGATGCTTTAAATTCTGAAAGTTTATTTCTGAAACCCAGTATTATTATTCTCAGCTGCCCTTGAAATTACAAACTAATTTTATTACTAAACATTATTACAGAAATACTATTAACAAGTTACCATTAAAGATTCACAATTTTTGTTTAGCAAAGGAATTTTTCTAGAAAGTAAACTTTTGAAATGCATTCCCATTTTGGAGAGTTGTTTTTTTTTATTTAAATCATTTTAGCCAGTGTAGGGGCTTGCTCCTATAATCCCAGCTGCTTGGGAGCTGTGGCAGGAGGATTAGTTGAGATGGAGAGTTTGAAACCAACCAGGGCAACATAATGAGACCCTGTCTCTACAAAAAATAAAAACAGTTAGTCCACCATGGTGTGTGTGCTTGTAGTCAGTCGTAGCTATGCACCAGAGGATATAGTGAACTATAATTGCACCACTGCACTCTAGCCTGGGCAACAGAGTAAGACTCTGTATCTTTTTTTTTTTTTTGAGATGGAGTTTCGCTCTTGTTACCCAGGCTGGAGTGCAGTGGCACGATCTCAGCTCACCACAACCTCCGCCTCCTGGGTTCAGGCAATTCTCCTGCCTCAGCCTCCTGAGTAGCTGGGACTACAGGCACGTGCCACCATGCCCAGCTAATTTTTTGTAGTTTTAGTACAGACGGGGTTTCACCATGTTGACCAGGATGGTCTTGATCTCTTGACCTCGTGATCCACCCGCCTTGGCCTCCCAAAGTGCTGGGATTACAGGCTTGAGCCACCGTGCCCGGCCAACCTTGTATCTTTTTTTAAAAAGTCCTTTAAAAGTGATTTACATATTTTCCTACTACTTTTTTTTCTTTCTTTATTTTTTGAGACAGGGTCTTGCTCTGTCACCCAGGCTAGAGTACAGTGACATGATCATGGCTCACCGCACTCCTGAGCTCCAGTAATCCTCCTGAGTAGCTAGGACTACAGGCATATGCCACCATGCCTGGTTACTTTGTTTTTTATTTTTGTAGAGATGGGGGTTTTGTTGTGTTGCTCAGGCTGGTCTCCAATTCCTGGTCTCAAGGGATCTTCCTCCCTCAGCCTCCCAAAGTGCTGGGATTACAGGCACGAACCACCCTGCATGGCACCACCTTTTCATGTCATACAGAACATCACTTCAATAACAAGTTGCACGAGAGCCCCAGATAGGTTAGGGTTGTTTTGATCCTGTGATAAGCTGCCCTCGGGCAGTCTAGGCATGTGAGCCAGTGCCTTTATCAGGAGCATCTCCTCTTGGACTAGCTATCTTGTGTTTGTAAAGTACCCACCTCCTTAGGAGGCAGCCAGCGTGAGTAGGGAATGGGCATCAGGATCTGGGAATCATAGTTCCATGATCCATTATCTGTGTGACTTAAAGGTCAAGTCACACTTTCAGGATTCAGATTTAATCTGTAAATGTGAGGCTCTTCACCTCTAGTTAAAAATAACAACTCTTTTCTAACCTTGACTCTTTTACTACATTTAATCTTTTTCCAACAGTATTTTTAGAATTATGTATAATGTGAGATACTCTAAGGTTAAGTGCATGGGTATATGGACTGTAAGGATTAGTATTTGGCTGTTCCTAGACGTGTTTTTTCCTGACTCTTGGTCTAGATCAGGGATCAAGCTTGAGGCCTATTTTTATCGAGTTTTATTGGAATATAGGCACACCCATTCCCTTACATATTGTCCTAGGTCAGTTTCGCCAGCAAAATTGCATAGCTATGGCCAGGTACAGTGGCTCACAACTGTAATCTAAGCACTTTCACTTTAGGCCAAGAGTTCAAGACCAGCCTGGGTAACATAGTGAGATCCTGTTTCTACAAAAAAAAAAAAAAAAAATACAGAGAATACAGAAACTAGCTGGGCATGGTGGGGACTGCCTGTCTGTAGTCCTAGCTACTTGAAACACTGAGGAAGGGAAGAGTTCAAGGCTGCAGCAAGCTCTGATGGCGCCACTGCACTCCAGTTAGGGCGACAGAGCTAGACCATGTCTCAGAAAAAAAATAGAATTTAGTAGCTATAACAGAGACCAGATGACCCACAAGCCTAAAATACTTAATATTTAGCCCATTAAAAAAAAGTTTACTGGCCGGGCACGGTGGCTCACGTCTATAATCCCAGCACTTTGGGAATCTGAGCTGGGCGGATCATGAGGTCAGGAATTCATGACCAGACTGGCCAACATGGTGAAACTCCGTCTCTACTAAAAAATACAAAAATTAGCCGGGCATGGTGGCTCGTACCTGTAATCCCAGCTACTTGGGAGGCTGACGTAGGAGATTTGCTTGAACCGGGCATGGGAGGCGGAGGTTGCAGTGAGCGCAGATCGCCCTGCTGCACTCCAGCCTGGGTTATAAACCTGGCCGGGGAGGCAGAGGTTGCAGTGAGCCAGAATCGCACCACTGCACTCCAGCCTGGGCTTCAGAGCAAGACTCCCTCTCAAAAAAAAAAAAAAAAAAAATACTGACCCCCCTTTATCTAGATCCCAGGGGTTTTTTTTAGATAAGTGACTTAGATATTTTCATTATTTACAATAATGTTTTTATATATTAATAAATTACTAATTTGTTTACCTCATGGGATTTAAGGAACAATTTATTAATTGTGATAAATACGGTGCTTTGAGTTATATTTACATTTTGTTGATTTCCCATCATGTCAGGGTAACTTTTAAGATTTTACTCTTACCTCCAAGAATAAAATATTTCACAAAGTTAAGTAATTTTTAAATTATAAAGGTATTTGATGAAATTTTGAAGAATTTAGAGGAAAATGTAAAACATGGAAGCTAAAAGCCTGAACTCTGAAGCCCAGCAGATACTTTCCTTCCTTCTTGGCTGTGGCACAATCTTTGCAAAACCTTCAGCACATTACTTAGCCTCATGTCAGGTCATTTGCTCATGTGTAACATGTGTTGATGTGAAATTGTAATGAAGACAGCCTGGTTTATAACATTCAAGTGTTAACTGTTACTGTGAGTTATAAAAATTGCACTAATGTAAACAGAAAGCATGGTCATTTCTACCTTTGTAAAGCTATTCTTTGATTTTTAAACAGAAAGATCATACATGGAAGCAAATCAGTGGACTCTGGAATATCCCTGGACAACAGTTATAAAATGGATTATCCTGAAATGGGTTTATGTATAATAATTAATAATAAGAACTTTCATAAAAGCACTGGTATGTATCTTACATAATTTTTAATCCTTTTTAAATATTTGTGCCATTTACATTTGCTATAATATTAAAAGCAGTATTGAGGTATTATTAGTCATTAAACTGTGACACAGACTAGCTGTGACGTAAAGATAGGGCAGGACCTTCAGGTCCTGTGATACGCTGTGAACTCTTCACTCTTCTGCTCGACTTCAGTCTCCCCTCACAACAGCTGGCTTCCTGTCTGCATGCTTAGCTTCTTCTGTCCTGACTTCTCCACAGTCTTTGCTACTTTTTCATCTTTCTGCTCCCTCTTTGATCCCAATGGAAGGTTTTCAAAAAACAGCTGAGTAGTAGTATTTATTGTTTCCCCAGAAATTACAAGACATATCACAAGCATTGCCTTATTTAATTTTATGACAACCGGAAAGAAACAATTCAATTCTGAAAGGTTTTTAAACCTTGCACAGTCAGAACAGGTAGTGTGATGGCAGAGCTCAGCCTGCGCAGCTCCACGGCGCAAGCGTCGAATCCGTCTTCTGTTCTGCTTCACTTCCTTGTATCTTCATGTGCTCTGTTGCCTGTCTTCTCTTACCTACGAAGCTGACAGAGATTGCCCATCAGAAGGATCTTTCTTTTATCCGGTTCCTTTTAATTCCTTTGATATTTATCTCCTTCCCTTCTTCCCTAAATTTTGAAAACATGTAGTTTAAGCTTGTGCTCTTCACTTGTTTCCATTCCTTCTCGAGTCTTTTTCTGTTTTCTGTCTCTCCCACTGAAACTTCTCTCTTTACATATACCATGGCCTGATCACCAGATAGATCCCCCTCTTGGTTTCTGTACTATGTGAAACTAATGTGGTACTACATTTGATAATTTTTTTTTAAGAAATATAGATAACAAAATCCTTCACAATGCCAAAAAAGCTAATTAACATTTGGTGTATTGATATTTTTTCTTGACAGTTTTTTTAAAGCTTGATTTTATTCATAACATGTAAGCAATGTTGTATTCTGCTTGTTTCACTAATAGCTTTTTATATTGCTGTATAATTTTTATGTTATAATGATTATATAATACATCCCCAAATATACCATTCACTTAATTTGCATAACTTACTATATGAATGAACATTATGCCTGTTTCCCTTTTAAATTGATGCTGTAATAATTCTTTGAATTGGCGTATTAATCATATTAGAGTCAATTTTTAGTTAGAGAAGCTATAGTAGATCTAATTTAGGACAGTACCTATCAGTGGTGGTGGAAATGAAAGGAAGCCAGATTACACTGGGAAGATGGCAGGGTTTGTGTCAGCTTAGTAACAAGGAGCGAGGAGATAATAGCTGAAGATGGAGCTCTAAATGGCACACTTTTACTGCTTTTGGCTATAAGTTGAGATTCCACCTTCAACCATTAACTTAAAAAACACAACACCTTGTCTACATTTGCTTTATGCATATGTGAAAATTTACTTCTAGATAATTCTGCCTCACATTTCTAGTGAGGATACCTTCTTCCTGTAGAATTTTGCACTTGAATCTGTTGTTTAAAAAACCAAAAACAAGCATATCATTCCACTACCACTATCACCTCCCCCACATATTTAGACCAGCAATCTGGGTTTGCCCTCAGTGAGTGCCTTTCGTAGTTTGCAATGTAAAGATCAGGTTCTCATGAGATCTCTGTGGGCCAGGCGCCATGACTGATGCCTGTAATCACAACACTTTGGGAGGCCAAGGCTGGAGGATCCTTAAGCATCAAAGTTCAAGATCAGTCTGGGCATCATTGGGAAATCCCATCTCTACAAAAAATAGAAAAATGTTAGCAGGGTGTGGTAGTGTGCAACTGTGATCCCAACTACTCTGGAGGCTGAGGTGGGAAGGTAGCTTGAATCCGGAAGGTCGAGGCTGCAGTGAGCTGTGGTTGCACCACTGTACTCTGGCCCACAGAGCAAGATCCTGTCTAAAAAACAAAAAGATTTTTTTAAAAAGGCAGCCAACACACCAGCACCAGAAGCCAGTGACCTTGTCACACAGTTGAGATAATCAACATTTTGGAGATGTATATAGACTTGTTGTATTTTTTCATACACACCAAATTTACTCTATTCTGAAGTGTGTTTCCTACCAACATTTTAGCGTTTTGAAGTGTGAGTGCATCATGCAGTCAATCTGTACATTCATGTGGAAGGTTATTTAAAGGAGTGGTAGAAAGGCCAGGAGCCCATGATATAGGCCCAGCATAGCTTTGTCACTTTGGGCTAGTTTGTTGACTTGACTACATGTCCCACATCTGCACAAGTGAAACTAGTAATAATACAACTCTTGGTGATTGGAAGGATGAAAGATTACCCATAGCAGAATATCTGATGAACAGTAATAACATTTGGGGGTTTTCCCTGAAGACACTATAAATGTTATAATGCTATCTCCAAATTGTTGGGAAGTTAGAATCAAAGATACGCAGTTCCTCTGAGTGTAATAGATGTATGTATGTATTATAGGATCATATTGTTTCCTAGTTTTATTTTTTTCAACAATGATTCTCCCATGGCAAAATTTTCTCTTTAAAAATGACAACATAGTATATCCCATTATATAAGTGAGTATAACTTGTCTAACCAAACCACTATTGTTAGACATGTAAGTTGTTTCTGTTTTTTACTACCTAAACAGCTGTGTAAGATATTTTGGATATAAGACTAATAAGGTTATATTTTGAAGTATCTTATAAGCTACAAAATTGAAGAGATTTTATGTCACCATGATCAAAATCGTTAGAATTCTCTTCCATTTAAAAGGAAGATTATTGTGGACTTTTGAATTGCTGAGTAGTTCATTTCATTTCAAAGTAGTTATTCTTTGTTTTCAATACAATCAAAAGTAATTCTTTCTGTTCCAAGGAATGGCATCTCGGTCTGGTACAGATGTCGATGCAGCAAACCTCAGGGAAACATTCATGAACTTGAAATATGAAGTCAGGAATAAAAATGATCTTACACGTGAAGAAATTGTGGAATTGATGTGTAATGGTAAGAAACAATTAGAAGAGTGAACTTGTAAAATATGAGAATTGTGGAATTGTACGTAATTCTAATCTTACCTATTTTAGTAAGAAGTTAAAAAAAAGTTATTTATGCCAACTTCCTTTGAGATATGTTGCTGAGGCCCAGGTTAGGTTAAGATGATCTCTTAGTTTTATTCTGTTCATCATATTCCCATACAGTATATCTGAAGTTATTGAATAAAGTCATGGATTTTTTTCCTTTTATTTGCAAATGTCTTTTCAGTTTCTAAAGAAGATCACAGCAAAAGGAGCAGTTTTGTTTGCGTGCTTCTGAGCCATGGTGAAGAAGGAATAATTTTTGGAACAAATGGACCTGTTGACCTGAAAAAAATAACAAGCTTTTTCAGAGGGGATTGTTGTAGAAGTCTAACTGGAAAACCCAAACTTTTCATTATTCAGGTAATGTATAACTGAGTGATTTGGTTATTGAAGATTAATCAGGGGCTAATTTTCTCAATTGTAAGTTATCCAAAGGATTTGTGGTTTTTTCCTGAAGCTAAGAAACTATTGTTACTTTTCATTTACTTAAACTACCACTTAAAAGATATGGAGTTAATTTTAATTTTATACTGACATATCAAAAAGACTCAACATAATTAACATCCATTTTTACATAACGTTTCAATTTCTGAGAAATAAGTTATATGTGCACATACAAATTTTTATAAATAAATATTTATTTTCTAATACCCAGGCCTGCCGTGGTACAGAACTGGACTGTGGCATTGAGACAGACAGCGGTGTTGATGATGACATGGCATGTCATAAAATACCAGTAGAGGCCGACTTCTTGTATGCATACTCCACAGCACCTGGTGAGAACTTTACACATAATGAATGTTACATGTGGATTTTAAATGAATTTTACTGTGACTAATCATAGAATTATACAATGAAGAGTGTGTTTCAGAGACTGTCAAGATTTCAATATCCCTAAAGGTACAAACTTATCTATATTTTAGGGTAACTTCATCAAAGAGAAGTCTCAAAAAGGTGTCTTTAGGCAAAAGTTTGGCTAGAAAATATGCATTCATAGCTGGGTACAGTGGCTCATGCCTGTAATTCTAGCACTTTGGGAGGCCGAGGCGGGTGGATCACTTGAGATCAGGAATTCAAAACCAGCCTGACCAACAATGTGAAACCCCGTTTCTACTAAAGATACAAAAAACATTAGCAGAGTGTGGTGGCATGTGCCTATAATCCCAGCTACTCGGGAGGCTGAGGCAGGAGAAACACTTGAACCTGGGAGGTAGAGGTTGCAGTGAGCCAACATGGCGCCACTGCACTCCAGCCTGGGTGACAGAGTGAGACTCCGTCTCAAAAAAAAAGAAAGAAAATATGCATACACAGAGTAGACTAGTGCAATGTCATTCATTGGACTTTTTACCGGGTAGAATATTACACGGCAAGAGGCCAAAACAGAGCTTCCCTGCATCTTAAAGAAGAAGAAAAGTATGTTTCTCAGGAATTATTTGAAAGGTAGTAAATAAAAAAGATAAACATGACTAGTATATGAGAGGATAGATGTGGAGTGGGAGATAATAGAGAAGGTAAGAAATGATATATGAATCTGCTGTTAATCTCCACTTTTTTACAGTTCTGCTGTACATGTCATCATCTAAATAAATATTTGTTGATTATGCCACCATTTACTTATACAGCTGACTCAGGGTGCCAGAGGGCTTGACACCTGAAGGAAATGGGAAATGTTTTTTGTTTTGTTTTGTTTTTTGAAATGGAGTTTTGCTCTTCTTGCCCAGGCTGGAGTGCAATGCCACTGTCTCATCTCACTGCAACCTCCGCCTCCAGGGTTCAAGCGATTCTCCTGCCTCAGCCTCCTTACTAACTGGGATTACAGGCATGTGCCACCACACCTGGCTAATTTTGTATTTTTAGTAGAGATGGGGTTTTTCCATGTTGGCGAGGCTGGTCTCGAACTTCTGACCTAAGGCGATCCACCTGCCTCGACCTTCCAAAGTGCTGGGATTACAGGCATGAGCCACCGTGCCCAGCCAACTAAATGTATTTTTATGCAGTGTTGCATTTTAAAATATGTGCAGTGTGGTTTCTTTTATCCTCGAGGCATCTTCCTAAGCAAAGTACCTCTAAGTTAAAGGCAATGGGTCTAACAGTTAACCTAAAAAAAAAAAAAAGTATGATAAATACACTATTTTCCCTTTTTGGACTTTTTGAATATGTGTATTATACTTTATTCAGATGCTCTGTAGACAAACAGGACACTGAAAGCAATTTATTTCTTGGCTAAGTCAGTATTAAAATAAGGTGAAATGTGATTGGAATACTGTGTTATTTATAATGATCCTTTTTATGCATCTTCACTTTTGCATCTTATCTGTTTCATGTTTGCTGTTCTCGCCTATTGAAAGGGGAGTCCAGAAAGTAAAACTTTCAATAATTCAGTGTTTGTGAAGCTAGTCCACCGGTCCCTTTCTTTGCTGAAAGCAGGGGTGGGTGTATGCATAGCACACATTCTTCCTTCTTCAACATCATTTCTTCTGAAACCAAAGGTGTCTTTCTTCTTTGTATAGTTAATCAGTTTGTGCTTATTTTTGCCTGTATGACTACGTAATAATTTATAGAATCAACTAATGTCAACTATCCATGGTATGTCGGTTGTATTTTGCCTCGTAGGTTATTATTCTTGGCGAAATTCAAGGGATGGCTCCTGGTTCATCCAGTCGCTGTGTGCCATGCTGAAACAGTACGCCAACAAGCTTGAGTTTATGCACATCCTGACCCGGGTTAACCGAAAGGTGGCAACAGAATTTGAGTCCTCTTCCTTTGATGCTACCTTTCATGCAAAGAAACAGATTCCATGTATTGTTTCCATGCTCACAAAAGAACTGTATTTTTATCAGTAAAGAAATGGTTGGCTGGTGGTTTTTTTACTTTGTGTGACAAGTGAGAAGACAGTATGCCTGCTACTGTATTTCTCTCTCATTTTAACCTACTTTCATGCTACAGAGGGTACTTTGAGACATACTCCTTCCATCAGGTAGATCCACTATGAAGCTACCTCAAACTTACAATCAGGTAGTTGCAATTGAATTTAATTAGAAATAAATAAAAATGGATACTGGTGCAGTCATTATGAAAGGCAATGATTGTTAATTTGTAGCTTTCATGATTAGCAAGTTATAGTGATGCTATGCTATAAATTTTCAAGTAACTGTGAAAAAGTAATGAATTTTTTATGATATTCCTCCCACTTAAGACTGTGTAATCTAGTTTTATGAAACTATAGAAATGATGTGGAAGAACTTAGTCATCTATGGGCAGTACTCAAAAGCGTGAACCTTTTTTTTAGAATTGATAGGCAAACATGAGTCAAAACTGCATTTTTAGACCATTTATCTGAGATAATGGTTTTGTGATTTTTGTCCTAAACCCCTTTGTTGTAAAAAAAAAAATAATAATAATTTAATATTGAGAGATATTAAATTAATGTTTAATATTAAACATTAATAATAATGTTTAATATTGAGAGAGACACTAAATATTTTTTGTGAGAGAAAGTGTGCGCAAACAAAGTTGACTCTTAAGGCTAAAATATAACATTGGTAGAGGGGTGGAGTTTTAACTGAAGGTGCTATAATGCAGCTGATCTACCAGCATAAATACCTTCTGATTTGTCCCTATGCAAATCAGTTGAGCTTCACATACCAGCAATATATCTGAAGAGCTATTGTATAAGAACCCCAAACTGTTGATTACTAGCCAGATCATGTGAATAAATTGTATAGGAACATATGCAAATCTAACTTAAATAATAAAAAGTAGAATGTAAGGAAAGTAATAAATGTATGGGCTGAGCTGTCTGTAACTTGAGAGCAGACGGTTTGAGCCTGAGCAGAGACACGACACAGCCTGTTCCATGAAGGCAGAGCCACAGACCGTGGTTTCAGGAAGGGCCCGCAGCTCGCTTCACCATACACACTGGCGTGTTGAAGATGCCGCCAGGGCCCCATTGCCAAGTAAGAAAGTGAACCAAATCAGAAACTTCTGAAATGGAAATGTTCTAAAGGTGGTGAGTCATAATAAAACTCATAGCACTCTTTGTAGTAAAATTCTTAAGTATGTTATATTCTGTTGATGTTCACAATCAAAGGAAAATAGTAATGTTTTATACTGTTTACTTAAAGAAAAGGACCATGGCATATAGGACTCTAGACGGCTTCCAGCCGGAGGCCAGAGCTGCACACCCAGCCCGGGAGGCAGACTCTAGGCCTCCCCACGCAGCAGGCGCTGAGCCCTCACTGCACCGAGTCTCACTGCCTTTCAGTCTGACATTTCATGGGAGATTTCTTATTGCTCAAAAAATGAATTCACATTTGTTAATGACAAGGTTCTTGTCTTTTTTTAACTAAATTTGTAACTTTTGTAAATACACGTAGCATGTAATGATATCTTAAAGTGTGTTCCTGTGTGACAACTTTGTACAATTTTTTTTTTTTCAAAATATACATTCAAACTTAAAACTACCAATGTGTTTTGAGTTTTTTGTTCTGTTGTTTTTGATGTTGTGCTACTAGTTGGAAATTAAAGTGTTTTTCACCAGAAGCTTGATTTGGAAGAGTCAAAGAGGAAGCCCCAGAACCCTTGCGGAGTGTTTTGAGGAGGTAGCAGTTACTGAACAGGGAAGACAGATCCCTAATGCTTCCCAGGTCCTCTCGCAGAAGGTCCTGACCCTGAAATGACCACAATGCCAGGAAGATACTTTGTTTCCATGCATCTCAGGCCTTAAATGGGACCGTATTTGTGAATTTGAAACTTTTCCCCCCCAGGTATATTTTAAATGTGTCTAATGGGAAGAACAGCCTAAGGAGATATGCAGCAAGCCTTGATTTTTCATTGATGGCCTCCTCTGGGCACTGGGAGTTTGACAGAGGAATTTGCTGTCTTTTTACTTCATATGCTGAGAAAAGGAATACAGGAAAGTGGGGTTGTGGGTGGTTGTAAATTTCTTCCAGTATTTCCATAAGGAGCATATATTAGTTTTAAATCAGAAACAAAATTGTTCTAATTAGGAAAGGGGACTTCGTTTCTGAGGAATCAAGAGTGGCATGAATGAGTTCTTTAAGCCCGTAAGAAAGCGGTGGTTCTATAAAGTGTTGAGGAAAATCTGCTTATTCTTGTCTCCTTGCTATGTGTAAAGGAGTCTCACACTACAAAGGAAAAGACCAGCAACCCAATAGGAAAATGAGCCAAGGACACGAACAGACAGTTCACAGGAAAAGAAAACCCAAATGTCCCTTAAATTCAATAAAGAGCTTGCTCTGCATCGTTATAGGAGAAATGCACATTAAGGTATCATCTGTCGTCTATCAGGCAGGCAAAACCCCAGTTTGGGAACATACTCTGTTGGCAAGATGTGGGAAATGTATACTCTCCCATTGGTGGGAGTGCAGTATGGTAAAATTCCCTGTGGAGGGAATCTGACAATACCTATGAAATTATTTCTTCTTTGAAGTAGCAGTCCCATTTTTCAGAATCCAACCTACCCATACATCTATGTGTGTACAAAATTGTATACGAGCTTTTCATCACAACGCTGTTTGGGTGTTAAAAAAATGACAGCAAGTCAGCCGTGAAGGAGACAGGTTAAATACACTGGAGCTTCCACACGAGAGAAAGTTGGAGCTGGAGGGGAAGGTGAGTTAAAAGATTGGGGGTTTTTAAGTGAGAGATTTGAGTAGGTTTAATGCTGATGGCGGGGATCCCGGTTAAGAGAAAGACTGGAGATACTAGAGGCAAAGATAACTGACAGTGTAAGGTCCTAAGAGCCCCAAGCAGTAAATCCGAGCATAGCTGGGGGTGGGGTGTAAAGAGGCAAGGAAACTTTTTGTTTTGTTTTTTTTAAAATGGGAAAGTATGAGAGGGTGGGTGTGAATGAACTTAAATTTGTAGTTTGGTGGCAGGAAGTTCTCTTACCGTAACTTCTACATTTTCTGTGAAGCAGAAGACAAGAACTCTTAAAAGTTAGGGAAATGATAGTGAGATCGAGGGCTAGAAGAGTAAGGCAGGCTTGAAAGAATCATTGTCAGGAGTGGGAGTTGACCAGAAATTAGAAAGGTCGCTGGGCCATGTGTAGGTGCCCAGTTGAAACCAACGAGTACCAATGTGCAGTGTTCCAGGCTGCGCTGCTGTGTGAATCTACCCAGTAACACTTTGGGCTTTTGCCCACATTTATTTTAAAAAGACAGAGGAGGCACAGATTTTGGGGTACTGCAAAATGACTTTCTGAATTGGTGAACTATGGACTCTAAGCTGGGGAGACATAAATGAAAAGAAGAGACTAATAAGGAATAAGACATGTGACCCATGGCCTGATGGCCCTGAGGGACGTGAAGATCCACTGTTGTGGGAGGAGGGGAACACCGGCACTGAATGATGGAGGCTGTGGTCAGAAACAGGTTGTCTGAGTTGGAGGGGCCGCAGATTTCATCATGAAAATGGTGAGACCAAGAAGAATGAAGTGGCATGCAAGAGACCATTGTGGAAATGATGTGGAACTAAGGGTGAGGATGTTGGGTGTGTGATCTGTATGAACATTGATTTTTATGCTAAAATGAGATTCACTATGTGAGAACATAGTAATAAGATAATATGATATAACTTAGTTGTGTTTACAAACTTTCGATTTTATGGATTTGAAAAAAATCCATCATTCATTTTTGCCAGGTAACATTTTTTAAAGTTATCACCCATTATTCACAACAAGAAAGACATTTTAACTCCAGCCTCATCGTTTCCCTCTCAACCCCGAAGTAGGGACATAACCCCAGGTTAAAGGATAATACTTCCAAGGAAAGGTTTATCACACATGCGCACACATGCACATTCCTCAGGATCTAACCTTTTGCAGTTTGAAATTGCATTTGGGAAGCAATACTCTAATCCACTAAAATAACTTTGTGCTTACCACTTGAAATGAACTAAAAAAAATCTCCCTCCTTGGTGAGACTTGGGCAGTGAGAAGCGGCCATGACTAGAAATGACACTGAGCTGTCCCTTAGAAACCTTTTTACAAAACATGTTTGTTGTGCTCGTTATGATGTCATCATTATCAGCAAGATGACAGAAATTTCGGCCGGGTGCGGTGGCTCAAGCCTGTAATCCCAGCACTTTGGGAGGCCGAGGCGGGTGGATCACCAGGTCAAGAGATCGAGACCATCCTGGTCAGCACGGTGAAACCCCGTCTCTACTAAAAATGCAAAAAATTAGCTGGGCATGGTGGCGCGTGCCTGTAATCCCAGCTCCTCAGGAGGCTGAGGCAGGAGAATTGCCTGAACCCAGGAGGCGGAGGTTGCGGTGAGCCGAGATCGCGCCATTGCACTCCAGCCTGGGTAACAAGAGCGAAACTCCGTCCCAAAAAAAAAAAGATGTCAGAACTTTCCATAGGTAAAATCTCCAATTTAAGTCATCTCTTTTCAGATTTGTCTAAATTTCAGTTGCTTTTGAGCAAGAAAAAGTGAATGTTCACGTGTGAAAGTCTGTGGGTCCCCTGCATAGAAAATAAGAAATAATGGATAACATGTTCAAGTTAAATGTAGTATGCACATGTGTGTGTGGCCGAGGGGTATTTGGATTCCAGTCTGTTAGGACACTGATCAAGTGATCTTAGCCAAATTACAATTTCTGTTGTCCACATTTGAAGACTCACGCCCTTGCAGCTCTAATATTGTATATAAAAGTAAAAGGCATTTTGAGTGTGTAGAGACTGTTCATAACTTTTTTTTTTTTTTTTGAGACAGGATCTTGCTATTGCCCAGGCTAGACTGTAGGGGCGCAATCACAGCTCACTGTAGCCTCAACCTCCCAAACTCAGGTGACCCTCCCACCTTAGCCTCCCTAGTAGCTGGCACTATAGGTGTGTGCTACTACACCTGCCAATGTTTATTTTTATTTTTTTAGACAGAGTTTCCGTTTCGTTGCCCAGACTGGAGTACAGTGGCACAATCTTGGCTCACTGCAGCATCCACCTCCCAAGCTCAAGCGATTCTCCTGCCTCAGCCTCCTGAGTAGCTGGGACTACAGACACACACTACCATGCCTGGCTAATTTTTGTATTTTTAGTAGAGGTGGGGTTTCACCACATTTGTCAGGCTGGTCTCGAACTCCTGACCTCAGGTGATCCACTCGCCTCAGCCTCCCAAAGTGCTGGGATTACAGGCATGAGCCATTGTGCCCAGCTGCCAATTTTTAAAAAAATTTTTGTAGACACGGGATCTCGCTATGCTGCCCAAGCTAGTTTCAAACTCCTAGGCTCAAGGTGTCCTCCTCCTCCTCCCAAAGTGCTAGGATTACAGGTGTGAGCCACCACACGTGGCAACAACTCT